TGGGGGCCACCTGGGGGTGAGTGACCACCAGGTGGGTCTTGGGAGCCACTTTGGGGTTGGTGACCACCAGGTGGGTCTTGGGGTTGGTGACTTTGGGAGCCACCTTGGGTTGAATGACCATCAGATTGGCTTCGGGAGCCACCTTGGGGTTGGTGACCACCAGTTGGAACTTGGGGTTGGTGGCTTTGGGAGCCACCTTGGGGTTGAATGAACATCAGGTGGGTCTTGGGAGCCACCTTGGAGTTGATGACTTTGGGAGCCACCTTGGGGTTGGTGGCCACCAGGTGGGTCTTGGGAACCAACTTGGGGTTGTATGACCATCAGGTTGGCCTTGGGAGCCACCTTGGGGTTGGTGACCACCAGGTTGGCCTTGGGGTTGATGACCTTGGGAGCCACTTTGGGGTTGAATGACCACCAGGTTGGCCTTGGGAACCACCTTGGGTTGGTGACCACCAGGTTGGCCTTGGGGTTGGTGATGACAACCATCAGGTTGACCATGGAAGCCACTGTGGAGTTGGTGACCATCAGGTGGAACTTGGGAGCCACCTTGGAGTTGATGACTTTGGGAGCCACCTTGGGGTTGGTGGCCACCAGGTGGGTCTTGGGAACCAACTTGGGGTTGTATGACCACCAGGTTGGCCTTGGGGTTGGTGATTTTGAGAGCCACCTTGGGGCTGAATGACCATCAGGTTGGCCTTGGGAGCCACCTTGGGGTTGAATGACCACCAGGTTGGCCTTGGGAGCCACCTTGGGTTGGTGACCACCAGGTTGGCCTTGGGGTTGGTGATGACAAGAGGTTCATCAGCAACATCACCAGGTGGGGCTGGGGAGACACTTCTGGGGGGTGGTGATGAGCAGGTGGGGCTGGGGAGTCACCTTGGGGTTGGTGACCATCGGGTGGGTCTTGGGAACCACCTTGGGGTTGGTGACCACCAGGTGGGTCTTGGGATTGGTGGCTTTGGGAGCCACTTTGGGGTTGATGACTTTGGGAGCCACCTTGGGGTTGGTGGCCACCAGGTGGGTCTTGGGAACCAACTTGGGGTTGTATGACCATCAGGTTGGCCTTGGGGTTGATGACCTTGGGAGCCACCTTGGGGTTGAATGACCACCAGGTTGGCCTTGGGAGCCACCTTGGGTTGGTGACCACCAGGTTGGCCTTGGGGTTGGTGATGACAACCATCAGGTTGACCATGGAAGCCACTGTGGAGTTGGTGACCATCAGGTGGAACTTGGGAGCCACCTTGGAGTTGATGACTTTGGGAGCCACCTTGGGGCTGAACGACCACCAGGTTGGCCTTGGGAGTCAACCTGGGGTTGGTGACCACCAGTTGGGCCTTGGGGTTGGTGACTTTGGGGGCCACCTTGGGGTGAGTGACCACCAGGTGTGTCTTGGGAGCCACTTTGGGGTTGGTGACCACCAGGTGGGTCTTGGGGTTGGTGACTTTGGGAGCCACCTTGGGGTTGGTGGCCACCAGGTGGGTCTTGGGAACCAACTTGGGGTTGCGACCACCAGGTTCTTGGGAGTCAACCTGGGGTTGGTGACCATCAGGTGGAACTTGAGCTTGGTGACTTTGGGGGCCACCTTGGGGTCGGTGACCACCAGGTGGGTCTTGGGAACCACTTTGGGGCTGAATGACCATCAGGTTGGCCTTGGAAGCCACTGTGGAGTTGGTGACCACCAGGTGGAACTTGGGTACCACCTTGGAGTTGATGACTTTGGGGGCCACCTTGGGGT